CGCGTCTGCTCCCCCAGCAGCAGCAGCAGCAGCTGCTGCTGCTGCTGCTGTTGATGCTGCAACAGGTGAGAAGCCTGCCACTGAGTTCTCAGGGTTTAGGGTTTAGGGTTTAGGGTTTACGTACAAGCGCTAACTGGAAGAAGCGGCAGTCCTTGATGGTGTCGTGCTCCTGCAGACGTCCAAACCCTAAACCCTAAACCCTAAACCCTAATTTTCTGCCCTCAAGGCACAAACCCGCCTACAGACAGATCCAATTACAGCTTTAGGGTTTAGGGTTTAGGGTTTAGGGTTTGGCGCACCGCGAGGCGATCAGCGATGAGACAAAAGACGCGGCTGTCGAGACAGTCCAAACCCGCGAGTGCTTGCAGAATGGCTGCGACAAAACCGTAAACCCTAAACCCTAAACCCTAAACCCTAAGCCCTAAACCCTGAACCCTCAACCCCAAACCCTAAACACCTCACGGGCCTGCGGTTTTAGGGTTTAGCTGCTGGCCCCAGCCACGGGGCCGCAAGCGCCGCCAACCCTAGCCCCTACACCCTAAACCCTAAACCCTAAACCCTAAACCCTAAACCCTAAACACTCACCGCAGAGGTCCCTGGCTGCGGCCTGCTGCAGCAAAACCCCCAATCTAGGGTTTCTCTTGAAGCAAACACTCAAAAATGCTGCTGGCCTCCAGGAAACCCTCAAGCAGCAGCAAGCCAGCCGCGCCAAGTGCGAGGGCCCCATTGACGGCAGCACCATCTCCGCCTGCGCCAAACCCTAAACCCTAAACCCTAAACCCTAAACCCTAAACCCTAAGTTACAGACCCTCAGTCCTACCAGCAAGCTCAGGAGAGAGATGCACACGCCCGGCAGAAATGGAAGCATGCCTCTAGAAGCTAGCAGCAGCAACAGCAGCAGCAGCAGCAGCAGCAGTGGCAGCAGCAGCAGCAGCAGCAGCAAACCCTCGCCACAAAGCGAATCCAAGTGTTCAAGTCGTAGGGGCCCCGAGCAGCAGCAGCTTCCATCACTCGGCACAAACGACCCGCAGACATCCTGCAACCAAACCCCAAACCCTAAACCCTAAACCCTAAAACCCTAATCCCCAGACCCTAAACCCTAAACTCTACACGCTAGACAGCTGCGCCCGAACCAAACAACGCCTTTGGGTCCTAAGTGGTAAACCCTAAACGCTAAACCCTGAGCATCAAACCCTAGACCCTAAACCCTAAACCCTAAACCCTAAACCCTCTTTACTCACCAGGGCACTCCTGCAAGGGTTTCAGGAGACACAGGGCGAGTGAGCAGCGAGTCATCTTGCGGTTTGCTGCTGCGGCATATGTCTGTTCTCCTTACTTTCCTTCTGCTGTTGCTGCTGCTGCTGTTACTGCTGCTACTGCTGCTGCTGCTGCTGCTGCTGGCGTTGTTGCTGCTTCTTGTTTTTCTGCCGGCTATACTGCTGTCTCTTGTGCTGCTGCTGCTCCGGGTGCTGCCACTTGCGCTGCTGCTGCTTGTGCTGCTGCTGCTGCTGAATTGCCTTCTGCTCCTCGTCAAAAGCCTACTGCTGCTGCTGCTGCTGCAGCCGCTGCTACCGCTGCTGCAGCCTGTGCTGCTGATACTGCTGCTGAATTCGTTAAAGCTTCTTCTCCATCTGGGGAAACTTGTTGCAGTGCTGCAGCAGCAGCAACAGCAGCAGCAGCAGCTGCCGCTGCTCGAGTTGCTTATATGCGCAGGCGCCAGCTTCGGAGGTCTCGTGGCTGCTGCTGCTGTTGCTGTTGTTGCTGCTGCTGCTACTGCTTTTGCTGTTGTTGCTGCTGCTGCATTGGGGGCAAACCAAAATGTAGCAGGAGCAGCAGCAACAGCACCCGCTCCTGCAGCTCTTGCTGCAAGGTGTACGCCCAAACTAGACATCCTGCTGCTGCTGCTGCTGCTGCCGTTGCTTATACCTCTGCTGCTGTTGTTGCTGGTGTTTTTGCTGCTGCTGCTCTTACCAAAGTTGGAGTTGCTCGTGCTGCAGTCGTTGCCGGAGTTGCTCCTGCAGGAGTTGCTGCCGCAGTTTCTGCTGCAGTTGCTGCTGCAGTTGCTGCTGCAGTTGCTGCTGCAGTTGCTGCTAGAGTTGCTGTTGCAGTTGCTGTTAGTTCTGCTGCTGCTGCTGCAGCTGCTTCAGAGTTCTACTGCTGCTGCTGTTGTTGCTGCTACTCCCAGTGCAGCTTCAAGAGCTGCTGTCGATCGAGGTGTTGCTGCTGCTGCTGCTGTTGTCGCTGTTGCTGCTGTTGCTGCTGCTGCTGCTGCTGTTAGGGCTTGCTGTTTTTACAAGGAAGGCTAGAAGCTCGCCTGTTCTAGGGCCTTCAGAGGGCCCCAGTTCGTGTGAAGCTTCTGCTGTTAACCCTAAACCCTAAACCCTAAACCCTAAACCCTAAACCCTAGGCCGTAGGCCCCAAAGTCTAGGCCTTAGGGCCTGAATGTTCTTGTTTGCTTACAACTCGTTAAAATACGGCCAAACGACATTTTTAGTCCCGAGGGTTTAGGGTTTAGGGTTTAGGGTTTAGGGTTTAGTGTTTAGCGTTTAGGGTTTGTGTTACAGGTTCCTGCAGCAGCCGACGCGCATGCAGCCTCAAGTCCCTTCCGGAACAGTAAGGCACTAAACCCTAAACCCTAGGCCTCAAACCCTAAACCCTAAACCCTAAACGCTAAACTCTAAACCCTTGCTGTTAAATCACCCATTAGGGATAGTGCTGGAGGTACTAAACCCTCCTGCTGCTCCTCTGCTGCTCCGACATTGCGCGGATCTTGAGGGTTTAAACCCTAAGCCCTAAACCCTAAACCCTAACCCTAGAACTCCAAACCCTAAACCCTAAACCCTAAACCCTAAACCCTAGCGGTGCTTAGCATGGCTTCCTAGCAAAGGCGAAAAGGGACTTTCTCCCTGCCAGGCTGCGGCCATCTCCAACAGCTGTTGCTGCAGCAGCAGCAGCAGCAGCAGCGCTTAGAAAGCAGCAGCAGCAGCAAGAACAAGAACAGCACCAAAGGCGCAAGGGCGAGGAGCAGCAGCAGCTGCTGCTGCTGCAGAAAGGGCGTGATTGATGCAGCAGCAGCAGCAAATTGCTCACGGACGACGGAGATGGTAAACCCTAAACCCTAAACCCTAAACCCTAAAGCGTAGTTTTACCGTACTAGAGCAGATCTGTCTGATCTCAGCAAGAGCTGGGTCTCCTGCCCAACAGCCCCTAGGGTTTGGGGTTTATAAGTGGGGTTGTTGCCGCGCGCACTGGCTGCGAGGGTTTAGGGTTTAGGGTTTAGGGTTTAGGGTTTGCTGCGCTGCAGTCGGTGCTGCTGCTGGGGGACGAAAACCTCACCTTTGCTGGCTGCTTGCTGCAGCAGCTGCGGGCGGAGGGCCACGGGCCTAAGTTGACAGTCACTGTGACTCTTGCTGCTGAGAGTGTCAGGGTACCTAAACCCTAAACCCTAAACCCTAAACCCTAAACCCTAGACCGTATGCCCTAGTTCGTGGCTTCGCGTGCTGCGCGGCGGCTGCGCCGCGCGTCTCTGCGCAGCGGCCGAGGGCCTTCGGCGCGGGGGCGGGGCCGCGGGCTTAGGGTTTAGGGTTTAGGGTTTAGGGTTTAGGGTTTAGGGTTTGCGAGCAGGAGGAAGTGCTGCAGCGCGCAAACGCCCTCACTGCTGCTGGGGTTTCTGTACTCTTCGGGGCTTCGCCGCTGCAGCTAAAAACTGAAAACTTTGGATCTCGTTTTCAGGAGTTTGTTGCAGTGCTTCCGGGGCTGCCATTCCACGGGTAAACCCTAAACCCTAAACCCTAAACCCTAGGCCCTGGACCCTAGGGGTGCGGGGCCGGCGAGGCGCGCGCCCTGCGGCGCGGAACGGCTGGGCTTGAGGGTTTAGGGTTTCGGGTCTAGGGTTTAGGGTTTAGGGTTTAGGGTTTAGGGTTTAGGGTTTAGGATTTCGAGGCGGCGAGGTGCGGGCCGGGCTTAGGGGCTTCGGGCTTGCTAGGGTTTAGGGTTTAGGGTTTAGGGTTTAGGGTTTAGGGACTGCGAGTCCGCCCTCCCACGACGGCGGAGAATGAAAGATGTGCCGTTTGGTTCCTAGCCTTTAGGGCCCAAGGCCTACGGCCTAGGGTTTAGGGTTTAGGGTTTAGGGCTTAGGGTTTAGGGTTTAGGGTTTAGGGCTTAGGGTTTAGGGTTTA